TATTCTCTCTGAGTGATCCCTGTTTGCTATTTCCCAGGTTTGCAGCATTGCTAATGTTGCTAGCATCGTGACTTAGGGTGTGATCCCTGGCTACATGGCATGTACTGGTTCTTGGCTTCTGACTAGCGCCCTTGAGCAAAGATATTGACTAATTGGGGAACCGCCAACATAGGGTTGGATAGCTCAGTTGGTAAGAGCACTGGAACGGTTTATCCGGAGGTTGCAGGTTCAAACCCCGCTCCATTCAGTTTCTACTTCAACTTTAGTAGGTTAAAAATTAATAATACCTTCTGAACTTATTTAATTTTCCTTGAATTTGCAGAGTTCTTCAGTTGGTAGAAAGCATCGACAATGCTCAGCTGATCGATGCAGTGTGGTGGACGGATGTGAAGAATGTCATATCAAAAGGACACGATCTTTTCAATGTCGTGACCAAGTACCTGAGTTACTTCAATGGTACGTCTCCATTTAGTCATTTTTATTTCATGTCACTCCATTTTTTTAAAAGATATCGTAATGAGCCCATGACCTCATGTTGAGCAAGCAAAAAAAATGTAGCAAGCCACGTCGGAGCAAAATTTCATGGAAATGTCATGCTAATCAGAATATTGTACAGCAAAGTTATGTCCTAAGCAGTGTTGTAGTCGAGTACTTTTTTCCAAGTACCAAGTACTGCTGAGCACTAAGGTAACCGAGTATGAGTACGAATATGAGTACTTGTTCGCCCGAGTACAAGTACAGGTCTCTGAGTACGAGTACTTGTACTTCGAGTACGAGTATGAGTACTTGTACCTCCAAGTACGAGTACTTGTATTCCGAGTACGAGTATGAGCACTTCTATTTCCGAATATGGCCATATGGCAAATAGTTTCATTGGGCGTAATTGTCCCAGGCCTAGTCGGACCAATATGCAGACCCACTCACGGCTAGCTGTTAATGTGTTTGTCCGGACGTGCACAGAGGAAAATCAGGAAACTTTGATTTCTCCGCAAGCCAATGAACCATTTCAAATTGAAAGTATCGATAAAATAAGGCCGTGGTAAGTCAAGCTATACCATTTTTTTTTTCGAGTACTGCTATATTCGAGTACGTGTACTTTGATGATCGAGTGCAGTTTCAACATGTCGAGTACAAGTACTCGCTGCCCGAGTACGAGAACCGTCAATTCAAGTACTAGTACTTTGACATTTGAGTACGAGTATGAGTACTCTAAAAAAAAAAAGGTACTCGAGTAGTACTGAGTACTGAGTACGAGTACTACAACACTACTGGTCCCTAAGCAAAAAAACATTTGAAAAACAGTCACTTACTGGGTGACAGAGCGCTAAGCTTGAAATCCATTTTTTTTATTTAAAAAAGCAAGCATTTTGGTGCTCAGCAAATTTCTGTGCTGAATATCTGCATGAATTGAACTTTGTTCTTTCTAACTTGATTTTTTTCTTCTGGCAATTTGCTGTGTTAGATAACGTATCCCAATCAAGGATCTGTTCAGAAATGAGACGACCATCCGACATCTTCTGGAGAGACAGTACGGCGTCACCATTGACGACATCAAGGCAATTCTGCAGCTTCAGTTGAGACCGGACAAAGTAAGTTCTCTATTTGAGTCTGTGCATAAATTCACCCTGTAGAGGGCAAAATACAACAATTAATCAAAGGGGAGAGTGCAGTGCACATGACTCTTATGTTGGGTACATGTTTTTGTTAAATGTGTTTGTACACATCCATTTTGAAATTGTTGAATAGAACTTCTAACTTTGCGTTGTGCAAATGGAGATGTGTTGCATGTTCTTGCAGTGTATCTTCCTATGGCTTCTTGGCCGAAACATTGTCCCCTTGTGTATCAAAAGTATCAGGGGTTACATTTCCCAAGTACAGCTCCTCCTTGTGAACACGAGATGACTCGTGACTGTCCTTTGAAGTCTCACTTTTATTAAAAAGTCGGGACCTTTATCTTTTGATGTATGAAATGGTATAACAGTCAAGTGCTGTGATTTGGGCCTTTTGTTTTACACCCTAGAGTATGAATGGCACCTTCAACTTCATCTCGGGTGCCATGCATCCATCGAAAGTAAAAAAAATGCCTTTGTTGTATCGTGTGCTTGGATGCTGTAAATTTCATTGGTCTAGGACGGCCACGTGTCCGCATGTCTCACACCAAAAATGCACGTCACACACTGAGGGTGATATTGCACTGCCTTCATTGCGCGCGCGCGCATATGGAACCTGCCGGTGTGCTAGTTTTGCGCCATAAGAACTGGCAATGTCAAATGCTCAGTCTAATGTCCAGCAGGACATCAAACCTTCAGTTTTCAAAGGTTACATCGCAGTGATTTAATTGATTTCTCACACAATAAGTTACAACCGTTGATCTTTTGAGTTATTGGCACAATTTAACAAAACAATTGTTGACTGCTGTGATGTGGGATATGCTGTTTTTAACCCCCTTGGGGCGCATAGCAACCTCTGCTTGCCTTGAGTGCTACATGTATGCGCCCCTCGGGTGTTACATGTATGCGCCCTCAGGTGTTAAAAATGCCATACCCCACATCACAGCTGTCAACATTGTTAAATGGCCAATCACACCAGTCAGCGATTGTTAATTGTATGTGTACAGTGATATATACCGTTTGACTTAAATTCAGCTTTTGGGAAAACCCTGTGTGTGCACAAGAACAAAAAATGCAAAACATTGTACATTAAGTAGTTTCTGTGAACATTTTAACTTACAACCATAATGTTCACTTTACCTTTATAGTGCAGTTTTGTTTACTGTTTGAAATTGTTGACAGAAAAACTTTTTCAGTTATCAGGCAACATCCATTAATCACACATGATAAAGTGGAAACATTTTCTTAAACGGTTGTGTGGTTGAAATGGAATTTACGATATCCTGAAATGGATCAGACATTTTTGGAACGGAAAAACTGTGGCCGTACCCCTGTGATTAGAAAACCCCTTCGATTATATATTTTTCTTACCTTTTTCTCAGATCCCTGAGTTGTTGCACTCTTGATGAGCACGAGCCACCCATCAGAGCTCTTCTGCTCACCAGCAGCACTGAACATCTCAGAATATCTCACGCTTCCTGGAGATTCCTCCTTCAACATTGGAGCTTTGCAAGAAGCCCTGTGTAAACCAGTCGCAAACGGCAACAAAGTTTTGGATGTCTTGTTCAACAACACCGACATTTTGCTCTTTGTGGATCAGGTATGATGGAAGCTAGACAATTGACCTATCAGTGTTAGCAAGTTAGCCACGCCCCTTTTAGACAACCCTATAGAATTTTGTGCCTTAAGTTTTGTTTGTCTCAGATTTTGCGCGTTCCGCATCCTTTGTATATGTAATTGGACAATATCTGACAGGCTGCGTTGACATGATTCTACGTTAATTTGTGACTTTATCCCACAAAAAGAATCTTAAGTGCAAATTTTCATACTTAATTTTTTTGTATGCACAACTGAGGGAGCAGTTTCTACTCTTCATTTTCATTTGTGACTCATTTTGACATCTTAAAGATGATTCTTGTGCTACTTTGATTTTCACTCCGAAAAGTATATTTGTTTTTTCCAAAGCAATTTTCCTAGCAATAGAAAAGTTATTCACTTTTGAACGAGACTGCGAACTGAAAACCCGGCGACGTTTAAGTATAAAAATTATTTCTGTACAAAATTCAAATTATTGGCAGTCCGAAAATAATTCGGAGGCCAGAGCTTATTGTGCACTCGCACTCCTTGTTATACCTACATGTACCACTGAATTGCAAAGCCAAATAAATGTAATATATTGTTAGAGTATTTTCAGATGTTTCCTTGAAAACATTAGTAGGTCTGTAAAGCTCTTCACCAGTGAAATGCTCAGGAGTTTGCAGGTTTAAATCCTGTTCATGTCAATTTATTTATGTTTCATAAATACCTGAAACAGTTTGCCCATTCTTAATTGGTCGAGAGCCCGTCCTTCATTGGCTTTCAACCGCCAGTAAATCACCAATTATCCATCAATTGAACAAATTGCCTTTTAATTAAACCCCAAAAAATATGCCTTTGCAGTGAGTCAAGTCTAAAGAGTCCACCATCCCCCATCCAATGGGATGCTCTTCTTGATGACATCTTGGTAATCGTAGCAAGCATCCAGGACATGCCAGAGTTTCTGCAGAGGCCTGCCGGCTCTCCTGATGACTACTCTGGGTTGTTTGACCATCCTCTCTGCTTCAGAACAGCTGGATCAGCTGCTTGCTGGCACCATACAAGGGAACATGACGGTAGAGGAGGCCTTGCAATATTGGAGGTTAGGAATGAAGAAAACAAAAACTGACTATCTTCAATTGGTTGAAATATGAATACGCATCACACTTTACGTGTGGAACATTAAAGCTGTTGTTAAAGGCAGAGTATATCATTTGTCATTTGTGCATTTTTTTCGTTTGAAGCAACAAAAGTGCTCAAATCTAAAGAAGGGTGCTTAACAACTAACCCGATGAAGTTTTTAGCTCAGTGATGCTGTATATTCTGAGAAAAACAAAAGTATGCTTGGTGCTTATTCTAGGATCTCGATTTCAGTTCAAAAGTTGCTGAGTCATGTTTTGTAATTGCGCCCGAAATCAGCATTCAAGACACATTCTCATTCATCCGATTTCAGCTATGCGATGTCACGCACTGAACCGATGATTTATAGCAACTGCGCTCGCATGTGCATCGTGCCAACGCTTGCGCGCACCAGTTCATGGCTTCGCCGAATTCAATACGAACTACCAACGGCAATTCCAAAATACATCTTTAGAGACATCTTTGGAAATGACCTTCTTTTATTGTTTTCTTCAAAATGACGGCATGTCAGAAAGAATAATTTCACAGGGAGTTTAGTGCCATTACCATCTTAAAACCAAGTATGCTTTTCAACAATATTTTGTCAGTTACTTTTTGGATAGCTGCAAATGATACACTCTACATTTAAGTGGCTTTCTATCATGAAGTTCGAATAATGGGGAGCTGCCAATGTAGGGCTGGATAGCTCAGTTGGTAGAGCACCAGAATGGCAAACCGGAGGTCGTGGGTTCAAACCCCGCTCCTGTCAATTTTTTTTGTTGAGCCTTGAAATTGTTATAATGCACCTATTGTCAGTTTCCTTTGCGTTTTATTAAAAAAGTTCAATTAGGGAGCAATGGGTAATACCCATAAATTGCTCATTTGTTTTTTAAAGCATACAACAAAATTAAAGGAATATCTGCCAAAAAAAAAGAAGTTTTGTGTAGCAAAAGTTATCATGGGAGATTTGTCAGTAGTCAAATGTTGTTGATCTGTCTTTCTATGCAGTGGAGAGCCGTTCGTTTCCATCATTCAAGGCGTTCTATCTCAGACACCTGCCTGGCAAGATATCGAGTACCAGCTGATTACGCAAATATGGCCCTGGACATACAGCTACGGATTCTGGACATGTTTACTGGTGAGTATAGCAAAAATAAACAAACAACAAACAAAACAAAGCAAAATTCAAAAACAAATTTCAACTCCAAAGGAAGCAAAATGAAGCTCTCATTAGATAGATTTTCTTTAAACGATGACCTTGGCCCAATGTCAAGGTGCTGCTATGCACACAATCCGTCTATTTCATGGAGACCGTAAGCAGTAAGCACAGCAAAAAGCATGCGTACCTCGGAGGAAAAAGTTGCTTGATGGATGGAAAAAGTCATTGATGTAACAGTAGAAATCTCCATGGGCCTACATCTGTTATCACGTCGACGTAATGAAATAGTGCTTAAGGTTTGCACAATTTTCTGCTATAGTTAGCATAACCTTGGTCAAGGCATTCGACGATAGAGTCCAGTGATCAATAGTCGGACGCAAACAACACTAGATGTACGTTTTGCACTTACATGTACTGCATGAAGCGTGCACAGTGACCTCAAACCACTAGCCTACAATATGCAAATCAGCTGGTGCTGAACGAACGCCTGGGAATATATATGAGCCTTGGCTTATGTTTTCTTCGTTTTGTCGCTGGATTTCCAGTGACGACCTCGTATGAGAATGAAGATGAGATTATTAATCAGTATGTGGTCGTTGAGGCTCATTTTTACATGGATAGAGAGTTGGATTGTGGGCTCATTCTCCAACAATGTTGGTGTCTGCAGACTAAATATAACTCGATATAAACCCAGCGAAAAAATTACGAAAATTTACCTGAAAAGATAGGATGGCCCACGGATGTTCCAAGGTGCCTTTCAGCACCACCTGATTTGCATATTGTAGACTAGCGGTGTGAGGTCGCTGTGCCCGCTTCGCACGGTTTGTGTGATTGCATAGTGTGGCTACTGTTTTGATTGGTCTACCATCGATAATCGGACACTATCTCCGAAGGCCCAAGACCAAGACATAGTTAACACCATTTTTCTGCTAACTGTTCAGTTGGCACCAGGAAATCTACTCACAATATTTGACTTTTTGTGAAGATGAAAGTGACAAAAAGTGCCCTTTGAAAAGCGCGGTGGAAACGAACAAAGATGAATGGGACTGGACATTAACCGACACAAGGTGGCGCTGTTCATGGCATTCTCTCTTACCATTGTGGTCGACAATTAAATATTATTAATGGGAGTGTCAGAATCCTCTCATGCCCCCCCCCCCCCCCCCAGCCACCATGCAGTTACACCCATCCCTTTTTGTTTGACTTTTCACAGGCGCTTTTGCCCGGAGGGTTGGGCATAGCAACCTCACCTCCTGTTATAAATATGTCCACGAGTTCGCACCAAACTTAACGAGTGCTCTGATTGGCTGTCGGGAGCTCCATCGCCGTGGTCACCTGGTCACCGTCAACCATCAAACAGAGCAGAAATTCCTGGAAAGTATCGGGTATGTACATGTA